TTGTATTATTTTTAATTCAATGCAAGAATTAATTACTCTCTTTATGAGATAACTTATATACTACTAATAATGAACAATAGTAAGTATTTATTTTATTTATTGCATTTTAAGAAATATGTTATGTCAAATATATAATTATTAAACTAGAATTGTTGGGGTACTCAAAAATGAGAACCCCTCCAAAAATTGGCGTATGTCACTAATTGCAACGCGCACACGGTATTCTTTAGTAAAAGGCGAAAGAATAGTTCGCTTTGTGCTCACTGCGTGGCTGCGTGAGATTTGCCAATGTTCTGTGCTGCCTTTTAATATAGCGATAATGTTTGTATTTACTCATTGTTCAACGATGTGGTACTTACCACTCTTTTTCTATTTTTTCTTCAGCTTCTTCACTAGCCCTTCAATATATATAGGCTATAGCCATAATATATAAACATGACTCTTAACTTGGTTTTAATGGATAATTATGTTTTCCAACTTTGAGTGTGCACAAGGAAACACTTAAACTTGTATAAAATTAAACAAGTAGACACACGTATCCTACATGACATAATATATGTAGGACAACACGTAGGACACAAAATTATCATGTAGGACGAATGTGTGCATTTGTTCAATTTTATATAACTTTAAGTGTCTACTTGTGTACATCCAAAGTTAAAGATCATAGTTGCTAGCTAACGTCAAATTAAGGGTTATGTTTATATATTATGTATATATATATATTGAGATATTTTTCACATAGAAACGACTTAAGTTGTCATGTATAATTTTCGTCTGATTAATTTACCATTTGATTTTGCTTCAGTTTTCTAGTGATTCTGAAGAATAATATATGCTCCCAACCTGATCGATGAACAATTAATCCGAGCAACTTTGGGCGAATCAAATCTTTATGCGATTCAAATTTGACCCAATCCTTTTTGGGAAAGGACACATATTTTAGAAAAACAAGTACTTCCTCCGTCCCATTTATATGTCACCTTTTTACTTTGCACTTGTATTAATAAATGATGTAACTTTACTCTTCTATTCTTATTTAATGTTTTTTTAAGTCAACTTTATAATAAATGATGAATACATTTTCAAGATTAATTAACTATTCTATCAAGGGTATAATAGGCAAAATATGGTAATTTATGCATAAATTTTATAAAATTACAAGTATTGTGGTCCAGTTATTTATAGAAGGGATGACATATAAAATGGGACGGAGGGAGTACATTATTGAATTCAATCAATGATATGAAAACAAATGTGTCAGTTAGAATTTTAGGTGAAAATATAATGCTGCTGCTAGGGGTGTACATGGCCGGGTTGGTTCGGGTTTTTCAAATATCAAACCAAATCATTTGTGTCGGATTTTTAAATTTATAAACCAAACCAAACCAATAAAACTCGGGTTTTTCAACCTCGGGTTTTTTCGGATTTTTTGATTTTTCTGGTTGTTTCGGGTTTTTCTGGTAAAGTATTCATACAAACATATAATTTACTTGTACTTCAAATATTTATTTAGTCCTACCAAAATACAACTATCTAAGATGTTTCTTAAAAATATAACACAATATGATATGATTAATGACACTAAAATATCCAACAAAAATAATAATAATGAAATTGCGTAAAACAAATATTGCAAATTAACAAGTCATAATGAAAATGCTCATAATTTAAAAGTACTAAATCATGCTAAAATTAAGTTTTATAAGTATTAGTTACATGACTAAATATTAAAGAAAATTAAAATTAGATTATGTATTTTAATTGTCTAAACCAATGTAAAACTAAAGAACAAATATTCAATATTATTGTCATTCTTAGGGTTGAATTGATTTTCTTTTTGCATTAGTATTAATTTGATTTTGATTTAAGCTTTATTATAATTACCATCATATGTGGACTATAATCTTTATTGGCTCATTCATAATTCTAAGTTTAAACTTGAAATAATATATTAAAAGATAAAAACTATGGAAAAGTATAAGAAATATTTAAAAATTATATCAAAGTAAATATTTTTATGTATAAAATAAAATTTTAAAATTATATATATAAATTCGGGTTAGTTTGGTCTCGGGTTGATTTTTTTTTAAAATCAAACCAACCCAAATATAGTCGGGGTTTTTTTTCAAAACCAAACCAAGTCAAACCAAACCACTAGTCGGGTTGACTCGATTTACGATTTGGTTCAGTTTTCGGTTCGATTTTGTACACCCCTAGCTACTGCAAATACACTAGTATAATGTCCCCTTTTTTTTTCTTTGCACTACCTAAAGATTAGCATCACTTCTGTATAATATAAAATTATTACAGTTAAGGAAGTGTAACACATAAATTCATCCTTAAGCAAACTAATTAGTCAGAAACAAATGAGTAAAATGTAGGAAACTCAACAAAAAAGGGATTGACTTAAATATGAATAGGAAATAAAAAATATATATTACTAAATGGACACTGTAGACATGTCAAAAAGGTTATTGAGTTTGGTCCATACAAAATTTGAATAGAAGTTTTTAAAAAGTTACAGTCCAATACTTTTGGGCCATCTTGTTTACAAAGCATTTGGACAATATATTGATAGCATACACTTTATAATTTGTATTAATATACATATATTATGCATATAATGTATATAAGTATACATAACATATACGCACCATATACGTACTATCGAATGTATATATAGTGTATACTTTGGCTATGTTTGGCAAATTAGATGACTGAATAGTATATATTAATAGCTATTCTTAAATTTTGAATTATTTGGATTGAATAATTAATTTGAATTTTATTAACTATAGTAGTCCATTTTATCATTTTCAAGCCCAAAGATTGTTTCATTTTGAGGCCCAAATTCATGCCGCGTGTCAATTGACATGACATCTCAGTAAAATTTAAGACCAATAAGATGATGTTATGCGTTCAAATGATGCGGTAATCCCAACCAAATTCAAGTATCAGATTTTTTTTTATTAAGTGCTTAAAATGACATGTCTTGACCAATCAAAAAAATCTTATCACATATATTTGTGATAATCTTGATGACTTATACGATACAATTAAAATGAGACAAGAATATCAATTTACACTTGGACTGCCTACAACTATAAATATGGAGATTAAATAACTTTCCGAGGACATTCAACAAGTATTGGATAAAGCATCAATATTGACTAAAAAGTTCTTCAAATGGGTGATCAACAAAATTCCGCTTAGAGATCAACATGGAAAAACAAAACACTTTTCGACATTCATGGAGATCAAACACACTATATTTCTACGAGGTTCAAAGTATCCTACAATTCGAGAAATACACAATTGGAAGTCCTCTAATCACTCCGAGAAGTTAAAAAAAAAACAATCAAAAGAACAACATAATTGTACTTGATAAAACTCATCAAATTATCATTTTTTTTATTTTTTATTGCAGTTAATATTTCAGCACTCAAAAATTTGTTGCTAACAAACACCCGCCAAATGTTTATTCCCAAGTTTACCCTTTATCATAACTGTTAAATTGTTTTACCTAACATTACATAAAAACATATGGTGTGTATTAGTGTAGAACTCTTTGAGCCTAAATTCATCTAACTTTAAATATTATTTTTATTAAACTCAAAATTTTTCTACCCAGTCCTAAAATCAGTCTTAGACGCAAAGTTTTTTTAATCAATGATTTCTAAAAGTATTAACTTTTAATGTACTCGAATCAAATAGTTTTTTCTTACTTTATAATAATCAAGTCGGTGATCAACGCTTGTACTATTCTTGCTCATTTTTCACTTTGTTTAATCTTTTTCCATAGATTATTTTCTCATAATGATGGTGTTTGAAACTTTGAATTATTTTACATGACTTTTGATTAAGTACATGTTATTTCTCATCACCATAGATGTCGAATAATTGTATCCATCAAAACTTAATCAGATAAAAAAAATCAATTGAGCATGCATTTTCCCACTCTTTTATGCCAATTTGATCTTTCTTAATTTAATGCAACTATATACCCCAAAAAAAAACAGTTTTCTGTTTTCTGTTTTTTTTGTTCTTACTTAGTCAAACAAGTATATCTATTAGCAAATCTTATCACCTAATAATTGGCCCCCCTCCATATTTTCCATGCCAATTCCCAAGCCATAGGATGCATAATAAACAATGAGAAAGAGGCGAATCAACACTTGTGGAGCAAGCAATTTGGTCAACAAGTTTTGTTTTATTAATGCATAAGTGACTATCTATCCCAACTAATCTGCTTATTAATGTAATATTTGCATTTCTATAACATTTTGTTAGTCGTTGACTCACAAAACTGAACAGATTGAATCTAGAAAACACCTTTACTTACATCAAAAGCAAAGTTCCAAGCAACTACACAACACTTAAAAAACATTATAAGCAATTGACTTCATTGTCTATGGGTCATTTTTTATATAGGAGAGTCTAGAGGATAGAAGTGTTGTTTATTGGCCGAATACATCGACAACCCCTTAAGTTTGACGGTAAATTACATTTAGACCCTTGAGGTATAATTTGTTCTAATTAAGTACCTGAATTCATGATAAAGTGTTCATGTTAGAAACTTCCAACGTAAATTTGAAATAGATTCAACGTGTGTTCTTGCAAGCACATATCATGTAGATAAGTATATGACAAAAAATATGTAACCTCTTTTAACCATACACATCAACATCAATTGGAACATGTCAAAGATTTAACAACTTATTGAGACTAATATGTATATTTAAAAAAAGTGACATATTTTAAGTGATTAACTTATTTATATAATAGACATTTGAGAACATGCGCATAAACTTTTCCAAAATTCAAGTCAGAAGTGTCTAATAAGAACATTTTATCATATGTTCAGGTGCACAATTGAAACAGACCATATCAACTGACAAGTTTAAGGGGTATTGATGTATTCAAACTAGTTTTTTCCAATTCACTTTATAAATAGTGATTGATCATTACTCCTAAAAATCAGCAATCTTTGAACTTAAATGGACTACTTCAAATCATTTGCTCAAGAGTTATTCTCCACAAACTTTGAAACACCTCCATCTTCAATCCAATTCATAGATGCTGCACTTTCTTGTACAAGTCCACATTTTGCACCATCTTACACAGATCCTAACCAAAAACGTATAATTCGAAGGCATCTCGTCTCTTTTCTTCAAGATTATCTCTCTTTCAAGCCTTCCATCGATGCATTCATGCATGACGATGGCACTAGTGTCAACTTACTCAACGCGAACGGAGAGTTGCAACTCTCTTCCTCCACCCCTTCAATCCCTCTTACCATTTGGTTACATGAAAGTTACCCTTTTATAGCCCCTATTGTACTCATGTCAACAAATACTACTTATCCAATTTATGACAACCATCCTTTTGTTGACTCTTCATCAGGTGCTATTTCAACATTTTACTTAGTAAATTGGAAGTACCCTGGCTGCAACCTCTCTGACCTTGTACACAATCTTTTCAAGATCTTTTCACATAATCATCCTTTCTACTATTCGCCTTCAACTGACGATTTCTTTCACCCTTCTTTAGCTTCTAGGAGGGAGGCTGTTGACCGTCTCTCGTGCACACTTCATTATGACATGAAAGAATTACTCTCCAAGACTCATGAAGAAGTTGAGGAGCTTTCAAGCCTTAAAGAACATATGGTTAGAAGGGTAATTGTTGCTGAGTTTTCGGTTGATGAGAGTGAAAATGAAATGATGGAATTGAAGGAAAGGGTGAAAATCTTGACAGATGAAGCGGATAAACTGTCGAGTTGGCTAAGAGATAAGGATCAAGATTTAAGTTCAGAATATAAAATTGAGGATGAATTTGAAGCGATTGACGAGAATTCAAAGATACTACTTGATAGCATAGCAGCAGATAAAGCAACAGAGGATTTGATGTACTCATTAGATAAGGCAGTTGAGCAAGGGGTAATGCCTTTTGGTACATATATAAAACAAGTGAGACTTTTGGCCAAAGAACAATACTTTGGTAGAGCTACCCTTGAAAAAATGGGAATATCTCTCGAATGGCTTCATTGATTGAATGGTTTATGATGTGAATTCCTACAGAGCTATATGCAGAGGCAAAGCCAGAATTTGAAGTTTATGGATTCAGAATTCTAATTCTTTCAAGTTACTAAGTTCTGAATTAATAATTTGTACATATTCAATGAATTTCTTGTTACAAATTTAGAATTTGAACCAAAGTTACACTGGCTCAGCCCCTAACTACATGTATAGAAAGCCAAAGTTGAATCAACCTCAAACTTTGTTATTTGACTTATCCAAGTTAATGAAATGCATATGTTACTCTAATATATTCATAATCTTTTATCCTCTGTAGCTTGACTATATTAACTCTTCAGATTTCGTAGTCTTGAATATCCAGAAAGAGTCTAGCAGGGATGGAGCTATTGCAACGAAGGGGCTTCAGTTGAACTTCCTTTGTTGGAAAATTATACTATTTGAACAGGATAAGAACAACCGTTATGTATATAATTTTTGAATCCCCTCGATATAAAGAAAGTTTTTAGTGAAGTGACATCGATGATTAAAAATTAGTACATAAAAATTACACCATTCTCTATAAATGGAAAATTTGCTTAGAAGAACAAAAATTAAACAGGGGAATATGGAAAACAAAATGAGCATGTAACACATGAGTTTATCCTATTTGGATGCAACGAATAGGTCCGGGATTACTTCGATATCACTTACATCCACGGGGAACTCATGAATTTCATCGCGCCATGGATTCATCTCATCGCGATTAACAGATCGAATTGCCTTCCAAATCACACTGTTACACTTGAAACCTGAACCAAATGCTATTTGCCACAATGCATCTCCTTTTTTCACCCTACCTTTTGCCTCAGCATAAGCTACTTCATACCATATCGAACTACTTGAAGTGTTACCAATTCTGTACAATGTCATTCTAGAAGCTTCCATTTGTTCATCGCTAAATCCTAACTTGTTCTGCAAGTCATCCAGCACCGGCTTCCCACCGACATGTGGGAAGAAATGATCAATGGATTTTGAGAAATTAGGACTATAAGGCTTTACCTTGCTTTTTGTACTAATAAGATTTACCAAGTAACGAAATTTTTCAGATAGAGGAAGGACTAAAGGAGCTACAGTGGATATGTTTAATCGAATGGTTTTTATAGCTGCGTACAATAGATTTTTATTGATTGTGACACCTCGATGTCCTTCAACGTCTTCTTCCATGAAAATACAGTTGTATGAGCGATCATCGTCCGATGTTTGAGATCGGACGGTGTGGATGAGCTCATACTTTGATGTATTTAGATCAGACGGTTTGTTGGAGAGGAGAAGAGCTACAGCACCCACACGGAATATGCAATTAGTCAACAATTTTGACCGGTCATTACCTTTATATACATTTGCTGTAGTGCTCTCACTGGTCACTACTAGTGCACAAGAGTTATCATGCACCTGCACAACAATAGAGTTCAATAATAATAATACGATAATCGAATAAAAATTGTTTATAGTATATTACCTTAAGCAAATTTTGGACAAGGCCTAAGGCAACAAGGCCAGCAGTACATCCCATTCCAGTAACATTATATGTACGTATATCATGTCTAAGGTTGTAACGTTTGACAATGACACTAGACACTGATGGCATAATATTGTATCCACAAAAAACAGTAATCAATATCCCAATATCCTCACATTGAACTCCAGTTTTGAGAAGAAGTTCATCTATGACTCCGAATATTGCCATCTCAACTTCTTCCTTAGCAGCTTCCGCGCTATTATCTATAGGTTCTTTCAACAATCCTTTAGAAAGATACGTTTTATCACCTAAGCCGGATCGTTCCAACATCTTGTCCATGAACTCTAGTGAGTCTTTGTTATAACAAAGAGTTTTGGTGCTTTTATCAACAAACGTTTGTCTATCAACTTGTTGATTTTTCGGGGGCTTGTAGCACGAGAAATCTACAAGGAAAACTCTTCGTTTATTGTTTTTGCGGAAGAAAAATAGTAGTACTAATGTTAATGTAATGAAGAAAAGCTTAGGGTATGTTATGATCAATTCCATGGTTGAAAGTATTGCCTTAGCTTGTTGAAGAGTGATAATTTTGGATCTCAACATACCTTTCTTTCCCTTCTCCATATAGTATATATATAGCTTACACTATCAAGTCATTTTCGTGTGGTGTTGTAATAGGTATGCCTGTGTCTCAATTTATGTGTCACTTTCGTTTTTCGAGAGTGAAAAAGTTTAAGTTTGACAGGAAATGTTTGACTTGAAAAATATTAGTATAAGTCACAATAATTGATAATTCAAAATGTTTAAAAGATCTATGAAAAACTTACGGTCAAAGATAGACTTGTTTGAATCTCGAAATCTAAAAGATGCCACATAAAATGGGACGGAGGGAGTAATATATTTTATTTTCAAAATAAAAAGGGTTAAAAATGTCTTTAAACCATGTGAGATGAATAAAAATATCTTTCTTTTTAAGTATAGTCTAAAAATACCCTTGTTGTCAATACTTTGGATTAAAAATACTCTTATTGTTATGTGATGAGTCAAAAATACCTTTATTCCAAATGCATTTTTTGACATTTCGGATTTCACTTTTATAGAATGTGTAGATATTATTTGGATTACCAGATGGTGTAAGAATTATTTACATATAGTGACGATATATAAGAAGCTACAAGCTTTTAGAATGGAATTGGATTTTTTTCGTAAAGTTGATCATTATGTGTCTTACGATGAATTTGATTGGCCTTAATCTCGAAGAGGTGATCAATTAATGCATTTTCAATATACTGCCTCAATTTCAAGTTAGAGCCCGTTTGGATTGACTTAAAAAAATTAACTTTTAAAAAGTAACTTTTTAAAGTGTTGAAACTTATTTTTAAAATAAATAGTTATGTGTTTGGATAAAAGTGTTGCAGTTGAAAAAAAGTTGTTGATGTGTTTGGCAAATAAGTGTTGGTAAACACTTTTTTTATCAAACTGTCTGAAATACCCTTTAAGTTGTTAACATGATGAAAAGTTGATTAATTTAAGGTTTTTATACTTTAAAAAAAATTAAAACAAAATTAATTTATATTTTACATCCATAAGTAATAATATTTTCCTATCATTCACATATTTCTTTACCACCACAAATTATTTATAAGAGGAATAATAATAATAATAATATAATAATAATAATAATAATATAAAATAATAATAGTAATAATATAAAATAATAATAATAATAATGATGATAATAATAATATAATAATAATATAAAATAATAATAATAATATAAAATAATAATAAAATAATAATAATAATATAATAATAGTAATAAAATAATAATGATAATAATAATAATAATAAAAAATAATAATAATAATTCAATATGGGCAATTTGGAAATTGTATAAAAGAATTAAGGGCAAAAAGGTAATATACTTGGTCAACATAAAAGGGTTTTTAAGTTAAAAAAAAAAAAAAAACTCCCCTCACCTAGCTTTTAGCTTTTGGCTTAAAATAAGTCATTTTTGACTTAAAATAAGTCACTTTGATAATTGTCAAACACTCTAATAAGTCTAAAACTGACTTTTAAGCCAGTTTGACCAGCTTAAAAGCCCATCCAAACAGGCTCTTAGTCAAAAGAGCACAGTTAAATAAATCCTTTATATCATAAATTATAGAGTTAAAAGGATCAATAATACATCTAAACTATTTCATTTTATTGAGTTTCATATTTAAACAATTGGGATTGTAAGTTTTTTATTTGAACTATCACCGAATAGTTAGCGAAACACACCTAGACGTTAACTACAATAAATGTTTGTATGAAAATGATTGATGGTGTGTTTGTCTATAAAATATTCGTCCACCTGACATATATAACAATTCTATTTGCTGACACATCAATTATTTTAATACTATGTTTGATTGACTTCTTTAAAATCCTAAACCCTCTCATTTCACGGAGATATCAATGATACGACAGAAACGAGACTACGACTAAAAAGATGAAGAAAACGATGACAGATGTTATGATTGGAATAAATTAATTTATACAATAATAATTTTAATCTTTAACCTTAACTTTAAATCTAATATTAATTTATTTAAATTTGTGACAATGACATAATTACTTGTCCAACTACTATATCTACTCTAATTGCTATCCTTCCCATAATACATTTTGGTCCACCAATAATTTGTAGCGTTTATCAATGCATTGTTATTAATTCTGACAACTTGCGAGCCGAATAAATATAGTTGCCTATCCTTTTTCTATTGGGAAGTAATATCCGAATAAATATTTACTTACTTTGTCTTATTTTTACTCATGATAATATATTCAAAATAAGACAAAGTAATTAAATATTTAGTTACTCATAATTATATATTTAAGAAATTTACACAAAATAAGAAAGAGTCTTTTTAATATATATTTAAGAAAAATATAATATTGATTTAGAATTGTGGGGTTATAAAAATCTTTTGGGAGAAAATATTTGGAAGTAATTAATTTTCCAAATAACCATAGTTAGGGATTTATTTTAAGGAAAAATCTTTTTGGTCAGAATTTGGCCAGAATGATATTTTATCTATGTTATTTTATCTTTTTAAATATTTTTACCCTTTTAACTTTAATATCTTTTAATTAAAAAATGAAAAAAAAATCAGTTTATTTTAAAATAAAAAAATATTATAATTTTTTTATTTTTCTGACAATTTAGCACTTCCCTTATTTTAATGAACTAAATCTTAGTCATTAAATTAAACATATGCCATGTTTCAGCAATTCCAATAGAAATTTGAAGAAAATGGAGAGGGGCTGATCCCAAAAGCAGAGACCTATGGAAAATGTGGAAAACTACTACTCTATAGCAAATTATGAAATAGGAAAGTAAATGAAGGCATGTTGCAACTGCCAAGATTTGTAGTGAATACCCAAAGTCTCTCTCATCTTTATTACAACATCTTCAACTTGCTATATTTTATCAAAGGAAAAAGGATTTTTAATTTATGATATTTGATTTATTTTTATTTTTTAATTTAATAA